CAAAAAAAAAAAAAAAGGAAAGAAAAAAGAAAAGACAAAACTACACAGSAGAAACTCCCAAAGTACCAACACAGGTTTAGAGGTTCCACCTTGTCCACTCCAGCAGAGACATAATCCAGAAACAGATGGACTTCACAGAAACCAACATCCTGTCCAGGGTATCACCACCCTCCCTGGCACTGCCAGATCCCAGGCCTGGCCACCAGCACCATAGACAAAGGGCYTCCTGGGATGGCCCCTGTGGGAAGGCAGTGGGGAGGGAAGGGGCTTTGGAGTCAAGTTGCTGCTCCTGGCTTCAGGTTTCTTCAGATGGGGATAACATTCCTACCCTGGGTTCAAATCATGACTCTGTCACTTCCTTTTGGAACTACAGAAAAGTCACTTTTCACTTATCTTTGAGTAACACCACCACCTATGGCACAAGGTGGTTGTGCACATAAAACAAAAATGCAGGGAAGGCATTCCAAAGAGCCCAGCAGGAGCACAAGGGTGGAGATGACAACTGAGCAGGGCCAACTTCTTCCCCTTGCAAAGACCTCCTCTGCACACCATCCTGCCCCAGACCCTCATCCTAGGCAGCAGGCAGCATCCCTGCCACTGCTATATTAGGGAAGAGAGGAACCTAACAAAAATCACCCCTAAGTTTGAACTGAAGCATGTGTGAGGTACTGAGTTYGAGTMTCAGCACCACATATACTTAATTAAATAAAGGTCCATTAACAATTAGGTAAAAAGAAACAAAAAGGCAAGTGGGGGGCTGGGGATGTGGCTCAGGGGTTAAGTGCACATGGGTTCAATCCCCAGTACCAAAAAAAAAAAAAAAAAAGGCCTAGCAGCAGAAACCACCTGGGGAAATCTAGTCCCTTTCAAGCCAGCACAGGTTCCACTAACAATTTGCGCCCTTGCTCTCTCTGCCTACCAACAGTGTGGCAGTTCAGCTAGGACTACTTGAGTGAAGAAGCTGGAATTGCAGCTGGAGCAGTTAAGGCTGAGGCCGCAGCTAGGACAGAATGTGCTGGGAGGTGGGCAGGAGGAGGCCTTTGGCCACGCCCTTCCAGCTTTGGCTCTACTGTGCAACAGAGGATGGACACTTAAAGAAAACTGACCTAGGGCTGGGAATGTGGCTCAGGCGGTAGCGCGCTCGCCTGGCATGCGTGCAGCCCAGGTTTGATCCTCAGCACCACATACAAACAAAGATGTTGTGTCCGCCAAGAACTAAAAAATAAATATTAAAATTCTCTCTTTCTAAAAAAAAAAAAAAGAAAGAAAACTGACCTGGGCAAAGTGGCATGTGTCTGTCTGCAATCCCTGCAACTTGGAGGCTGAGGCATGAGGATTACAAGTTCAAGGCCAGCCTTTGCAATTTAGTGAGACTGGGCAACTTAGGTGAGACCCTGACTCAAAAAATAAAAAAAAGGAGGGAGGGAGGGAGGAAGGAAGGAAACTTCTGCTTGGGATTGAGACTTCCTTAAAGTAACAAAGAAACTGTGTGGCCAGGGGCAGAATTTTGTCAAGTTATATCATTAGACCAGCAAATCACTCTCCATTCCCAAGGGTCACAATACCTTTCTTTGGACCTCAGAGACTGACACCAGCAGGAACCATCCTCTGGGTGCACCCCCACCGACAGGAAAGAGGTCACAATCTACAAAGCAGGTACCCACTGACAGCCATTAACCCCACTCCTCTTTCCCCAAACACTTCATGTATCAGGGGCTCCATTGGCCTTCCTTTCCACCTAAAATGTGCAAATCACCAAGAAGTAAGGTGAAGCTGGCCCTTGCTTTGTCCACAGGAAGTGCATCTAAGCTCCTGTTAAGGTCTGTAGA